TCTAGATGAACAGCTAACTTTTTTTTAACTAAATCCCAACTGTATGGCTCTGCTAAAAGTGCACATAGCACTTCTGAAGGCCAGGGATGTTTTAAGCAGGATGAATGCAAACTTCTAATGTAATACCTAATATTATTATTATACAGGATTTATATAGCGCCAACAGTTTGCTCAGCACTTTACAATATAAAGTGGGACAATACAGCAACGATTCAGTTCAATACAAGAGGGTTAGGAATATGAATGTACTGTATCTCTAAGGTCTTACATTTATAAATATTAGGTAACTGAAAAACACATCAGAAAGTAACAGAAATCACCAAAAAATGTCTAAATAAAGAAAGATCAAACGAATAAAAAGTGGGGAAAAAATCTACAAAAACTGTGTATAGACAGTGAAGGATCTGTTAGAATCTATAACATTGTATTCATTCTTTTTGGCTTCCTGGCTTTGGAAGATCAGTTTACACATAAATAAGCAGTTCTCAAACTCCCAAACAAATTAGATGTATGTGCCCCACTATCTATGTGTCAGGATAAATGACAGCAGTTTACTGTTGTACAATAGACAGCAGTAAAGCCTGGATTTTGTCAAAAATGGCAACAGCAGTACTTCAGGATGCATATGTCAGTTCTTAGCTCAGTTTTCATCTTAACAAATGCTAGGTGTGTTGTATTAGAGAGAACAGCAACAGAGTGGAGTTTTTATCTTATATGTATATCAAACACACAGAACAGTTAGCCTGGGTTCACACTGATGCGGTGGAGAATTTGCAGCGTTTTCAGCGCAAATTCCGCACCGCATCAAAACCGCACCCCATCCATGTGAACCAATGCGGGTGTGTATGTTAACAACACCCCGAAATTGGTCCGCAAAACGCGGTGCAATGTGCAGAATTGGATCGCATAGGTGTGAATACCCATGCGATCCGATTCTAGTGCGGACCAAAAAAGGGTCCTGAACAATTTTGGTGTGGGTGCGGTGCGAATAGAGCCTTACAAAATGTATGGCTCCAATCGCACCACACGGAATGCAGTTCCTGTGCAAATCACATGGGATTTAACGCACCGCATCAGTGTGAATATGAGCTAAAGGACTACTGAGCAGATCTGTAAACATATGCATGTGTTGCTGACTAAGTATTTGGGGTTTATGTACTATAGAGTGCAAAATCTGCTGCAGCTCTGCATAGAAACCAATCAGCTTCCAGGTGTCATCACCAAGGCTTAATTGAACAAGCTGAAGGTAGAAGCTGATTGGCTACCATGCATAGCTGCACCAGATTCTGAGTGCTCGAGTTTTAGTAAATCTACCCCTTTTATTCCTATAACAAAGTACTAAGAGTATTACAAATAGACTATGGTGCCATGCTATGCCAATTTAGATACCTATAGTATTAGGTGAACCTTTCCTTAAGGCATAGTTTTAACTGATTTTTTTTGCCTCTGCAGCCTAAACATATGGAAAGAGCAGCATACTTGGTGCAAATCCATCTGCATGAAAAAAGCAATACTATCTCAGAGTGGGGAATCTAAGTGTATGCAGAAAGCAAACAAGGCACATAACTTTAACCCCATTCCCTATACTATATAACACATTAGCTTATCTTCAAATATTTTATTTCACCCTATTTGCACCAGATGAGGTTTCTCAGTGTCTGCATTTTTCTGCAATAAAGTAAATTCATTTTGATTAAGGCTTACATAACATTGTTTTTTTTGTAAAACATTAAACTCTAGCAGATGATCACCAATACAAAGCTATACCTGACCGATTAAGTTATGACACATCTAAGCCACTCCCACTATATTCCTAAAAATGTTCTCCACTAAACCGGAAATTGCTCATTAATTCAGCAATTTCTTCTTGACCACAATTTGAATTGTGAAATGGTCAGATTTCAAAATCATTTTGTAAATGTCTCTTACTGATCTTATTTTCCATACAGTCATAAGACAGCAATAAAGATTAATATACTGTCATCTGCACAGATGTCAAGGATGGGGGGGGGGTTGCTGGGATGGTACCTGTTTCAAGAGATACAGGTGAAACTCGAAAACTTAGAATATCGTGCAAAAGTTCATTTATTTTAGTAATGCAACTTAAAAGGTGAAACTAATATATGAGATAGACTCATTACATGCAAAGCAAGATAGTTCAAGCCGTGATTTGTCATAATTGTGATGATTATGGCTTACAGCTCATGAAAACCCCAAATCCACAATCTCAGAAAATTACAATATTACATGCAATCAATAAAGCAAGGATTGTACATAGAACAATATCGGACCTCTGAAAAGTATAAGCATGAATATGTACTCAGTATTTGGTTTGGGCCCCTTTTTGCAGCAATTACTGCCTCACTGCAGCGTGGCATGGAAGCTATCAGCCTGTGGCACTGCTGAGGTGTTATGGAAGACCAGGATGCTTCAATAGCGTCCTTCAGCTCTTCTGCATTGTTCGGTCTCATGTCTCTCATCTTTCTCTTGGCAATGCCCCATAGATTCCCTATGGGGTTCAGGTCAGGCGAGTTTGCTGGCCAATCAAGCACAGTAATCCCACGGTCATTGAACCAGGTTTTGGTGCTTTTGGCAGTGTGGGCAGGTGCCAAGGCCTGCTGGAAAATGAAGTCAGCATTCCCATAATGCTCGTCTGTGGAAGGAAGCATGAAGTGCTCCAAAATCTCCTGGTAGACGGCTGTGTGTTGACCCTGGACTTAATGAAGCACAATGGACCAACACCAGCAGATGACATGGCTCCCCAAATCAAGACAGACTGTGGAAACTTCACACTGGACTTCAAGCATCTTGCAGTGTGTGCCTCTCCATTATTCCTCCGTACTCTGGGTCCTTGGTTTCCAAATGAGATGCAAAAGTTGCTCTCATCAGAAAAGAGGACTTTGGACCACTGAGCAACACACCAGATCTGTTTTTCTTTAGCCCGGGTAAAAAGATTCTGACGTTGTTTGTTGTTCAGGAGCGGCTTGACAAGAGGAATACGACATTTGAAGCCCATGTCCAGGATCCGTCTGTGTGTGGTGGCTCTTGATGCACTGACTCCAGCCTCAGTCCACTCCTTGTGAAAGTCCCCAACACTTTTGAATGGAATTTTCCTGACAATCCTCTCCAGGCTGCGGTCATCCCTGCTGCTTGTGCACCTTTTTCTTCCACACTTTTCCCTTCCACGTAACTTTCTATTAATGTGCTTTGATACAGCACTTTGGGAACATCCAACTTCTTTTGCAAATACCTTTTGAGGCTTTCCCTTATGGAGGGTGTCAATGATGGTTTTCTGCACAACTGTCAGGTCAGCAGTCTTTCCCATGATTGTGATTCCTACTGAACCAGACTGAGAGACCATTTAAAGGCTAAGGAACCCTTTGCAGGTGTTATGGCTTAATTAGCTGATTAGAGTGGGACACTTTGAGCCTAGAATATTGCACCTTTTCACAATATTCTCATTTTCTGAGATTGTGGATTTGGGGTTCATGAGCTGTAAGCCATAATCATCCCAATCATAACAAATCACGGCTTGAACTATCTTGCTTTGCATGTAATGAGTCTATCTCATATATTAGTTTCACCTTTTAAGTTGCATTACAGAAATAAATAAACTTTTGCACGATATTCATATTTTTTGAGTTTCACCTGTATTATAGCTGGAATTAAGATAAATATGTCGTTTAGTAGAAAAGCTGCAGTCAATAATGCAGGCCATACATGGGTTGAATCCGGAACGTATTTTCTGTAGAAAATCATAACTAAAGCTAGGTTCACATCTGTGCGGGTGGTGCCCCTGCGGATCCGCACGCAAATCCGTGCAGCCGCACCAACCACACAGAGAAATGCGGACCCGCGGGAGGGTGCCATTAGTTCTAATGGCACGCCGCCCGCACTGGAGAACACAACCGTACTGGGAACCGAGGTTCCCGTGCGGGCTGTGTTTTCGGAAGAAGTGCAGCGACTTCTTCTCTGCGTGTCACGGGGCACGGGAGTCCATTCAAATGAATGGGCTCTCGTGCCCGTGTAAAATGCGGCCTGCACGGCCGCATATATATGATCCAGGGGTTTCAAACTTCACAGAATTATTGGGCCACAGCATCAGTCAATTTTCATGCGGCCACCAAATCTTAGTGATCGGGCATGTTGGAAATGTTCTGAAAAACAAACTAATTTCTAATCAATGATGGGAAAATCATGCAAGAAATATAATAAATAATAATATAAAAAAATTTGTACAAGCTGTGACCTGCAAAGAAAAGAAGATTCCCAGCCACAAAAATTCTTTTCTGTAGCAATATGAGGTGAAATTAAAGGCTTGGTTGGTGGAATTTCAAAATCAATTGTGGCACCATCATATTACAAAACACAAAAAATGTCCAATTTTCTAAAGAAAATTAATTTAGAATTTTACCCATGTATGGCCTGCATATAAGCATAGCTGAGGTACCAACAAGTGAACCAATATTTTCTTTAAAGACTAGTAACATGAAAATAATAATTATCTTCCCGTAGATTTAATCACAGGTCAATTACACTATGCTACAAAAAAGTTAGCTGGAAATAGGGTGAACATACAGTATAGTGGCAGAATAGCCAGGATGATATGTCTGCAAACCAGGGTACTCTAAAAATCTTGGAATGTACTAGGACTCTGGTTGCATAGGCAATTAATATAATATGTTTCCCTGTGGTAAGAAATCTGCAACCAGAGAACCTCACAGTAAAGAACATCAACACTCTGAAGTCTACTAACTTACGTATTTGAATGAAATACATTTAGGAAATGGTTTTCAGAAGGGGCTAGTCACCATAATAAAAGCAGGCCCCTTGCTTTACTTTCCCTTGTTTCCTGTGTTAAGTGTTGACACTGACAGTACAGTACATTTGGCACAAGACTCACTGCAAACTAAGAAGATTTTAATACTCAAACATTTTTTCAGTACTGCAGGAGTCTCTGGCAGTGGAGGATGAGAGTCATTGGGTGCCCTGTAGTTGCTTTAGAATATACTCTGTCGTCTGTTTCTTCCACGCCCTGTTAAAACAAAGTAAGAGTTTAGTTAATGAAGCCAAAATAGAAACAAAAACACTTAAAGTGTTACTAGACCCAGGACCCTGCATTCATTATATCTGCTCTCCCACAGTACACAGAACATGGAAGTGCAATTATTTTAGTAAATTTGAACTGCTAAATTCCTTTTTTCATCAGCAGTTAGAGCAGCCTTGAGACTTCATCAGTGTCCAGCTGAGAACATGTTAAAGCTTGTAGGAGGAGTTTTCATTCTTCTCTATGAGGCTGCAAGACCCCTGACCTCTGTCTGGACAATGCTTATTGGCCCTGTGCTGACCACATGCACCTTCCCAAGAAAAAAAGCCTCTCTAGCAATACACACCAAACCGAGCATGTGCAGCTTTCCTCCAAGCCCTTGGAGATATATTAGGGACAGCAGAAGAAAGGGAGGATCAGAGAAGACAGGATCAAACATCCTATTTACACAATGCAGAGGATTAACACCTTAAGTTCCACAGTGAGTATAACAAGCATTCTTTACTGCATATACAGACAGATTTTGCTGTTGTGGGCTTAGTAACACTTTAAGAGTGATGGCAGAAAATAGTCCATCATGTCTTTTTGATTTTCCTATTTATCCTTTCTGTCTGGGTAAAGATTATATTTCCTCCAAGCATGTTTAAATTGGGTGTAAAGGCTCAAGGTTTTTTTTACCTTTATGCATTCTATGCAAGAAGGTAAAAAACCTTCTGCGTGCAGCAGCCCCCCAATACTTACCTGAGCCCCGACTTGATTCAGCGATATGCATGAGAGCAGAGGCTCTCACGAGACTCCTGCTCATTGACTAAGACAGCAGCAGGAGCCATCGCCTACTGTCAATCACAGCTGGTAAGCTAATAAGGAGAGAGCAAGGATGGAAGCGAGCCTGCTCGGGTGCCCTTTTAGCAAGCTGCTTGCTATGGGGGCACTCGGCAGGAGGGAGGGGCTAGAAATGACAGCGGGGGACCTGAGAATATGGGCTGCTCTAGAGCAGGTAAGTATCCCTTCTTTCCTTCAGACTGTACATATTAGGTTCCTGAAGTCTCTCCTGAAGTTTTATCCCTCAGACCTTTCACCATTTTTGTTGCCCGTGTCTGGACTCGGTTTGATCCCTCAGACTTAGACCATTTTTGTTGCCCGTGTCTGGACTCGGTTTTATCCCTGAGACCTTTTACCATTTTTGTTGCCCGTGTCTGGACTCGGTTTTATCCCTCAGACCTTTCACCATTTTTGTTGAACGTGTCTGGACTTGGTTTTATCCCTCAGACCTTTAACCATTTTTGTTGCCTGTGTCTGGACTCGTTCTATCTTATCAATATATTTTTAAAAATGAGGTCCCCAGAACTTGACATTGTTTTCCAAATGAGTTCTAACTAAACATCTACCGGTATATAGGAAACCGCTTCCTCCTGCTAGTGACCGCTCTAGTGATTCATCCCAGAATTCTATTCGCTTTCTCCACTGCCAGGCCACACAGTTTGCTGATTTGCAATCATCTCAAAAAGCAAATATATTGTAGCTCTGGCCAGCACCGTCCTCCCAATATTGTTTTGTTTTGCATTTTGTAATCTTGTACTGAGATGTCCACAGCATTGACCAATCTACGAGAAATGCCAAAATATGTTTCATGTCACAAACACTTCCAGGAATATCAACCCTATTATACACCTTTGTTTGGTCAGAAAAAAAAATTCCTTGCCCATTAAGCCTTCAGTTATATTTCTGGCAAACAAAGGAAATAAAACAGGTCCCAGTACAAAGCCTTGTGACTAGGATCTAATCTCTGTTTCTGAATCAATTTAGAACCACACTCTAATATCTATCCTAGCCAACTGCATATCCACTGAACCACCCAAGGATTAAGTCCTAACTTGTACAACTTTTTATCAGATCATTCTGTGAAACTGTATTAAATGCTTTGCAGAAGTCAAGAGAGGCTGAGACCACAGCACCACCCTGTGTATGCAGAAAAGTACTGTTTGGTTTCCAAAATCTGTCTTCAGATATTTCCACAATTGCGTGTTTTAGAGGTAACTTCACAATTTGACTGCTACAGTAAATGGCTTAAAGCAAAGAGATCAAGCCACATCTGCATGGATATCTGCAAAATGTGAACTGTAGGTGAGATGGAGGACAGATGTGGAAACTCTGGCATATATAATTACTAACTAAGCATAGATTTAAAAGAGAACTCTAGACAGATCACAACATTCAATAATATTAATGCAGTGCACGTAGTGATTTACTTGTGTCTCCCTCCCTGTTTTTTTATGTAATGTGTATATACAATATTAGCTTAGTGTTAAAAATGTGATTACTGTGTAGTAACGTTTTAAGAAGGTCGTTGTGCAGTTTAATAGACCCATGGATGCAACTGTACAACCATACTTACACATTACATCTGTTCCTAGCTTAACAGTGCTACAGAAAGTGTTTGCTTTACAGCTTACAATGCATCCCCTTCTCAGAAGCTGCACGGACTGGAGTGTGGGACAGCACGGGGGGGTGGTTGACAGAGCAGAATCAGCCTCTATCCTCTCCTATTGGTGCGGAGGATGAGGGGAGGGGCTGGGTACTGACGAGCACATAGAGGGGACCCAGAAAGGAAGGGAAATCCAATGGACAGTGGGGAGTGATTGGTGTGGCGATGAGGGCAGTTACAAGCACCGATCTCCCTGTATGGCTTTCAATGAAGCAGCTGGAAGCTGCTTCTCCTCCTCTCCCTCCTATGGCTTTCAGCTGCTTCACTGAAAGCCATACACGGAAATCAGTGCTTGTAACTCTCTTCACCCACCACACCGATTACCCCAGACTGCCTTATTTAGCAGGGAGAAGGAAACACGGGGGGCAAGGAGTAACATGGAGGGGAGCAATGGCCGTCCAGTGACAGGAGAGAGAACCTGAAGGGGAGAGAGAGAGGACAGCACAAACCTACTCCCAGCTCTCTTCTCCTCTCTAGCTAATTTCTGACAGTAGCAGTAATGCTGCTGTCAATAATTCTGTCAGCCGCCCCTTCCACTCACCCCTAGTCCCGTTCTTGCTCGCCCCCACATTATTTACACTAACCAAATGCAAGCAGGTGAGTGGAAATTTTGAGGGTTGACCTATTATACAATTTTACAATTATACCTATTTGTATCCAAAATTGGTAATACCAGACACTCGGAAGGATACGAATAAAGTGATCTCTTGGAGAAATGTATTTCCTCAGTGGTATTGAATTATAGAGCATTGCTTCATTGAAATTGGTCTGCTTGGAGCTGGGTTCTGCAGAATATTACTCCCTGAAGACACATCCATGAGTGGTTTATTACTCTGCTAATACCATCGCCCCCAGAGCAATATATGCTTCAGTTTTTTATAGCTCTGGTGAGTTTATTTAGTGTTTTTGGTGGTGGATTGTCACATTTTTGTGCACTTTTCTTTGGATTTGTACTACACATCTTAATTTGGACTGTTTTTGGACACTTTTATATATAAATTTTTTTTTTCAATTATGTATTTATAATTATTACTCACATTGATAATATTTTTATATTTTTCTTGTTCACGGGTATAATTGTAATATTTATTTACTAACGCAAATTATTTTTGTGTTGTTTTTTACACTTTATTAATTTATGGTGGATTTTGCAGCTGGTATATCAGTTAGAGACCCACATTTTTACTCTCTCCATAGGCGCCATTATATTTATTTACTATTATACAATTTACCTAGTGATTTTTGTTCTGACTTGAGTCCTTTTTTAAGTCATAATTGCATAAACTTAAATATATATACATATATATACAGTACATTTAGTGTAGAGTATATAAATCTGAAGTTTAAGGGCTCTTTCACATGGATGGTTTGTGTTCAGATCAGCAGGTCCTCTCCCAGATCCCCTGCTGATCAGATTAGAGTGGGCGGATGATGGGTTCTTGTCCACTCAGTATATGTATATAAGATATGCCCCGCCCTGCTCAATGGGTGGCTGGGAGTAAACAAAGTCCACTGTCTGTTTACAACTGGCTGCCTTTGATTGGGTCCTCCCAAATGGAAGAGGATGGAGTCCTCCTCCATTTCTTTTAGCGGGCCTAATTGGACCTGGAGGTAGGTGGGTGTAAACGGACATAAGTCCAGTCCATAGGAAGCATGGACCATCTGATCAGGTTCACCTAAAAAACTGATAAGCGAACCTAATCGGATCGCCCATGTGAAAGGACCCTAACAGCCTATTCATGTCAGAGCTAAATAAAGTAGAGCTTTTTTTGCCTTGGTAGCTGTATTAGTGAACAAGAATACTTAACAAGATAGAAGGTTCAGTTTACTAAGCTGCAGCACACATATCAATCATTATTATCACACACCCGACTTATCTACAGCTGTCTTTGCTGGAAATTACAATTGCTACGTTAAAGTAGCATTAAACTCAAAAGCAAAAATGTATTATATCGCAGCTAACCAATTCTTAGATGTAATGGCTGCATTAGTTTTATTTTTTAGGCTTTTATTCTTTTATTTTCAACTAGCGATCTGGTCAGTAGTTTGTTGTTTTTCAAAAGAACATGCTCTCCTGCAGATGTATCAGTTACCCCTGTAACTGATACATCTGCTGGAGAGCATGTTCTTTTGAAAAACAACAAACTACTGATCAGATCGCCAAGTGAAAATAAAGGAACAAAAGTCTAAAAAATAAAACGAATGCAGCCATCCCTATGAGACAAACCATTCCACTTTGGCAGGTGTGCTTGCAATGATCAGTTTTATTTATTTATTTATTTATCTATTTATGTAAAACCTTTATCCCCAAAGGGGGAAAAAAACTGTTGCTGTAGCGGTTTATAAAGTGCCCCCAGACTGACAATATTGCTGTCCAAACATGCCTTTGTGCTCCTTCATCCAAAGTAGGGGCACTCTAATACACAAGGTGTGTTACTGGTCAGATCACCAGGTGAAAACAGAGGGAAAAAAGCCCGAAAAAAACAAATGCAGCCACCACATCTAAGTACTGGTAAGCTACAGTACATTTTTGGTTTTGGATTTAATATGCTTTAACTAATGATTCCAATAGCTCTGTGAATTAACCCATTAGTATATAGGAACACCAAAATGAATCCACTGGAAATGAAAAAATGATACCTGTCTGGTGGAAGATGGAGCCACGATAGCCAGGGTCTTTCTGAAGCTGGATTTCTTTAAAAGTGAAGATTGAGACATCTACACAGAGACAGCAACGTATAAGAATATTTGGTCTGGTCAGAATAAAAACTATAGAAAGCAATATGAAGTTTGTATTTTTTTCTCTAATATTCTGGCAAACGATTATATAATTGCTTACTCTCTGGCAGGGTGTGTATTCTTTCACCAAGGCTTTTGAAATAAGGATGCCTTAGACCTTCATCTGCAGATATCCTTTTCTTGTCTTCATACTGGTAGAAGAGAAAATATATAGGTGTTGAGACAAGGAATGCCTAGCAGTGAGATAGTTTGATTTTATATATTATATTATTATATATATTTATTTTATATATACAATGAGGTTGATTTTCTAAAGGCAAAAAGGTATGTTCCCTTTGCAGGAGAATTTTCACTTAGCTTACTTAATAAGGTCACACTCTGCTGACTTTCATCTCCCAATCATGTGCAAAGAAAATTTTATTTTTTTATATGTTCCTTGCATGTAATTAGGTTATTCGTTACGAAGTGAATTATCAGAGCAAATTAGTGTGCAAAGTGAAAACTCTCTTTCAAAGTAAACATCTTATTTGCCTTAGTAAATCAACCCCATAGTTTCCTTTAAATTGCCAAAACATAGCACTGTGAAATATCTGTTTTTTCTTGCCTACTTGTATGGTGTATTCAGCTATCAAAGAACTATTTCAGGATGAAAGCTAATTCATTTATACAGAATTATTCTAATGCAAAGTATTAAAAACTTGAACAGCTACTGGAAAGGTAACATAAACCTGTGATAAATAAAATGTTTAAGTTGATATCTTGGCTGTCACATACTATTTACTGATTTCAACATTTTCTGATTCAATGACCTGCAGCAAGTGTGTAGTATATGAAGTCCTGATCTACATACTTAGATCCTTTTATTGACTTATAAAGTGTTTAAAACTATTGGATTAGCATGAAAGCCAAACATCTAGTCTGGTCATCAGTAATCTACACATTTCTCTCAGCCCAGTATTACCTTAACGGAAAATCTTACTTAAAAAAACAAACAAACAAAAAAAGAAATTATAATTTCCCTTTGCCCCTTCAGTAGGATAGTAATTGTGTATGTCTCCAGCTTGGTACATGCAACAAAGATGGACAATTATTCTCTATCCCCAGCCCTGGTAAATGAGTGTAATTTTAGATGTCTAGACTGCTGTTCATGCAAGGGTAAATGCTCATTTACATATAGAGGGCTGTAAAAGAGCGGTTTTACCTAACAATCCTCCACTCCCCTGACATTCGGTGCTCTTTTCTCTTTTCTACTCCCCTAGGACTGTTCATCAATGTCCTCTCGTCCAATGCACAGTGATAGACCAGCACAGCACAGGGTGAAAAGGCTGTGGGACCAGTTTTGCAGACTGGAAGGAGAATGCTGGATCCTTAGACCTAAAAGTGCAACTAAATCCAAACCTTTCAGTTTAGGTAATTTTTTGCTGCCTGGGTACCACTGGGGAAATTTCCCTTCACTTGATGTCTTGGAAGCAAGAGGAAATGAGAGGAAATTGCTGTACATTGAATAGAATTGCAGCTTAGAGTAGTCATAAAAAGATGTGTCTTCATTGGAGGATTTTCCCTTACCTCTTGCTCTAAGGACCACGCTAACATTTTCGATTTCCTCTCATTTTGTGTCGCTATGTTAACCACTTGACCTCCAGAGGATTTTACCCCCCTTAATGACCAGGCCTCTTTTTGCTACTCGGCGCTGCACTAATTCAACTGATAATTCAACTGGTCATGCAATGCTGCACCCAAACGAAATTTACGTCCTTTTTTTCACACAAATAGAGCTTTCTTTCGGTGGTATTTGATCACCTGTGCGCTTTTTATTTTTTCACGCTATAAACAAAAAAAGGTCAAAAATTTTGAAGAAAAACAGTATTTTTTACTTTCAGCTATAAAAAATATATAGTAAACTCAAAGTTGGTTATAAATTTAGGCCAAAATGTATTCTGCTACATATTTTTGGTAAAAAAAATCCCAATAAGTGTATATTGATTGCTTTGTATGAAAGTTATAGCGTCTACAAACTATGGTAAAGATACTGCAATTTACGCCATTTTTTTGCTATACAGCGCTGCGCTAGTTTAACGGACAATTGCGCGGTCATGCAATACGGTACATAAATGAAATTTACATCCTTTTTTTTCCCCACAAATTGAGCTTTCGGTGGTATTTGATCGCCTGTGCGTTTTTTTTTTTTGTGCTATAAAAAAAAAGGCTGACAATTTTGAGGAAAAAAAACAATATTTTGGACTTTTTGCTATAAAACATGTCCAGTAAAAAAAAAATGTAAAAATCAAATTTAGTCATAAATTTCTTCCAAAATGCATTCTGCGACATGTCTTTGCTAAAAAAAAAACCAATACGTGTAAATTAATTGGTTTCGTGAAAGTTATAGCGTTTACAAATGGCGGGAAAGATACTGGGATTTTTAGCTTTTTTTTATACTAATAATGGCGGCGATCAGCGACTTATGGCGACGATCAGCGACTTTATGGCGGACTGCGGCGGACATTCAGACATTGGGGGGTACTGACTTGGGGTCACTAACATCCCCAGTGACACCAATACAGTGATCAGTGAAAAAAAAAAAAAAAAACACTGACACTGTACTAATGGCACTGGGGAGGAAGGGGTTAAGTTTATTTTTCAGGAAAAGGGTTAACTGTGTGAGGGGAGTGTTTTACTAGGGGGCGGGGGTGTGTACTGCACAGGACACCGCTGATCGGGAGAGAGAAACTCTTCTGTCCCGATCAGCTTGTCCTGGAGCTGTCAGGGAACTGACAGAAAGCACAGCTACTGCAAAATATGAGAGAGTCAGCGATTGCCGCCGATCGTCGGGACATAGCCGGTAACGACCAGCTGTGACCCGGCGACTGAAATCCGCGGCTGTGATCGACGGGACAGGCAGGGCGGCGGCGCGCCTCGCGCGCGCCCCCTACCTGTTTACAAAACACACGTTTTAAAACGTGGTTTTGCCCAGCTGTGCCGCCCTGCCACCGTATTTATACAGTGGCTGGGTGGAATGTGGTTAAAGGTCACCAGGAAAAAGAGAAGGGCGAATTCCCCCAACAGGGACACAGACAGCAACATAAACTTGACAACGTGTCTAACCCTTCCCTACTCTACCTAAAGTTAAAAATTTAAAAATAACACTATATACATGTTAAAACAAATAATATGTATATCAATACAGCTCTTAGTACTATCTTAAATACATACCAGCAAAAGGCTGTTTAGAAGATCGATCCCCTCAGAATCAAGTCTGAAACAGATATAAAGTTCCACTGTTATTGTCATAAGAACAAAGACACAATGGGATTGATTTGTTTAAAGGCAACTGTCTGTGTACTGTGCAAGTGCAATTACCCAAATGCTTAGTAATTGAGGGGAAGCTCTTCTGACTACCATCATCCAATCATGTGCAAGCAAAAATGCTGTTTTTTGTATTCCCTTGCTTGTGATTGGGTACTCTTTGCAAAGTAAAGCTACACTTCATTTACTAAGCTCTGGAGCAAGTGCACTTGCAGATTGCAACTACACTGCAAAGTTCACAGTTATATATATATATAATACAAGAGTACCAAAGTATATGATACAAACAAGTCAACACCTAGATTTAAATAGCTCACCTTTACAGAAAAAAACTGTAAAGTTGACCTAACACTGGACCCTCTCCCTACTCTCCCTGTCCCTACTGTACTCGCCACTGCCAATCCTCAGTCCACGGATTTGAAATCATCGCTGCCCTCTCTCTCTTCTCCGTCCTGCACTGCCAGGATGATATGGATTCTGATTGGTCAGCGACAACACATGGATAGAGTTGACCAATTAGATTCCATCTGGTCTGTTCTGGCAATGCAGGACAGAAGAGAGAGGGAGCAGTGGGGGATTTCAAATACCTGGACTGGGGGCTCCGGGGATCTTGACAGCTGAGGATCACCAGTGGTAAGTACAGTAGGAGCAGGAACAGGGGCAGGGACAGAGAGGGTGGGGAGAGGTTCTGGTTTTAGGTCACCTTCAGAGTTTTTCTGTAAAGGTGATCTAACACTTTAAGAATCTCTAACCCAAACCCCAAACACTGATTAATATATGAAATGTTCAATAAAAAAAATATTCCAGTATTCTCTTTTGTAATTAACCTCCTTTTTTATTATACTGACAAATGGCTGTGACAGCACTATTTGGCACACTGGAGCGATAAGCATTGTAGAGAATTTCATCTTCATAGATTGCAACCAGGGGCGGACTGACAACTCATGGGGCCCCCGGGCAATAGGGGATCATGGGGCCCCTGTGACCTTCCCCAAACTGAAAAAAGCCTATGAAAAAGGTACCAGGGGCATCTCATGGGGCCCTCTACTGACCCCGGGCCCTCGGGCAGTGCCCGAGTTTCCAAATGGTCAGTCCACCCCTGATTACAACAGAAGTGCTGAAATTTCTGCTTCTTTTTTTATTACTTTCTACTGTAGCAGAATCTAGGCACCTTGCCAACTCTCTTCTGTGAATAAGCTTGTTAGCTGTAAAGGCTATATGGGAAAGCGGAGTGACTCCATTCACTGCCTGTCAAATGCGATATGCTGTTTAACTTCAGCAGCCGGCATCTTTTCTTAGGCTTTTTATGAGTTCTGGTATTCAGCCATATTGATTGACCCTACTTCCCATGCTAACTATACACACGTGTACTTGGATATGGATGAGCAATACAGTACAGTCTTGTCAGCTGAGAAGAAGACTGGGGTGCCGGCAGTTGTGTATTCAGGTTTTGTGCAGTCCTAGGCAATAAAAAAAAATCAGACACCCCCGCCCCCCCCCCCAAGGGAGAGAGCCTGACATTGACCAACAACTCCCTGCCCCCCCACCTGAGGGAGCCTTCCACCGCACCAACACGCATCACCGACACCCCCCCCCCCCCAGCGAGACAGAGAGAAAGACACTCACCTTCACAACTCCAGACATCCCTGGGAACAAGAGTCGGGCTCTGTATACACCATCAAGCAGCCTGAAGCCTCTCTCGGATCACACCTGGTCCCCATGCCACATGTGTCTCTTGCTCTGTCCATTCTTCTGGGGCAGTGCTGCCCCCCTAAAACATGCCCCCCTAGGCAAATGCCTTATTTGCCTTGTGGTAAATATGCCCCTGGGTGCTTGTGATCGTGGTGTTGGATGTGAGTCCAGTACCACCTCTCCTCTGAATTAGGGTAAGTATAAGATATATAGTTAGCATGCTGAGGGGAATCAATTAGAACTGACCTATTTAAAAGGTATTACTACCCTTTAATACATATTTTCTTTAGTTAAAGCAGAACTCCAGGCAAAAGCTTCTTAACATGTTCTTTTTGCTGATTTCCTACATTCACTGAATTTGCCATCTATCTTCCGGTTCACTCAGTAGTTGCTCTGTAACAGCTTATTAATTTTCAAATCAAACTGTTATTTCTCTTTGGTTCCCTGTTCGTAAGACCAGTGTCTACTATGCCTCCTATTCCCCCAGCCATGTGGTCTTGGCACATTCCTTCTGTAGTTCTTTCTCCAGGAAGCAGTAATGTAATTCAGCCCCACTTGCAGTAGTGGGTGGTCCGAGGCACTCTGTGACATTCAACATGTACAGGCATAGTGTACCCACCCACAGAGAGAGGAGAGGAGATGATGTAATCTCTGCTGTTACACCTACTCCTTGGCAGAACAGATGCGGTTATCTTTTTAGACTTTTCCACTAAATGGTAAGGATTTTCAACATTTTATTAACTGTTTAGTGTTTTGTGTAAGGGGTGTACTAATGGATGATTTTTTACCTATCCCGGAGTTCTTCATTAAGCTTGTTCATGTTTATAATGAATTATCAATCATGCTCTATGTGAAATGTAAACTTTTTTTCTGTCACAATAGTAAAATTGTAACTACTGCAAACTAATGTCAATATACTAAGTCACAAAAAAATGTTCACTTAGCAAAATGAATGTTCACTGAGCTTAGTGAATGTGGTAAAGCTACAGTTGCAAGAAAAAGTATGTGAACCCCTTGGGATTACGTGGAGTTTTGCATGAATTGGGCATAAAATGTGCACTGAACGTCATCTAAGTCACAACAATAGAAGAACACAGTCTGCTGAACATAATACTACACAAACATTAGATGTTGCCATGGTTTAATTGCACATAACAAGTAAACATTCACAGTGCAGGGAGGAAAAAGTATGTGAACCTTTGGACTTAATAACTGGTTGACCCTCCTTTGGCAGCAATAACCTCAACCAAACGTTTCCTGTAGTTGCAGATCAGACCTGCACAACGATCTGGAGTAATTTTGGACCACTCCTCTTCACAAAACTGTTTCAGTGTAGCAATATTCTTGGGATGTCTGGTGTGAATCGCTCTCTTAAGGTGTCAAGGTCCTACCTTTTCCCTGAGGTTATGTTACTCCATGTGCTGGCGTCCATCTTGGATTCTGCTGTGCATGATGGGAATCCTTTTTATGCCTTCAGGTCTCTGAGGTCCACCCCCCAGAGGGGCGTGGCTGATGACATATAAGCCTGTGGCCCGCACATGCTCTTTGCACTTGTGTCTTGTGTCTTTGTGTTACTATTACTCTGTTCTGACTCTCGTGACTCTCCTGGTATTCTGATTCGGCTTGTGACTTGACTATTCTTTGTATTCTCCTTTGATCTGACCCTCTGTTGCTGAACCCGGCTTGTGACCTGTGATTCTCGTCTGCTGTCCTGTACTGTTTTGTCCTGTTGTTGTTGACCCCGGCTTGTCTGACTACTCTTTTGTTTCTTCCACCAGCTACACGCCATTGGCGGCGGCCATTACCGCAGCTGAGGTGTCTCGGGGGCCGCGACCTGGTTCCTGGCTGCGTCAAGTCCATCCCCACCATCAGGGGCCCTGGTGAAGGGCAGCCTGGGACTTAGACTCCGCGCCCTGAGGGACTTCGGTCTGTGGGTGGTGGTTGTCGTCAGCCAGTGCGTTACATTGTTAGGCCTGCCTGTCCGTTCCTCGGCTCCTGCCCTGACATAAGGTCATGCCACAGCATTTCAATCAGGTTGAGGTCAGGACTCTGACTGGGCCACTCCAGAAGGCTTATTCTGTGCTGTTGCAGCCATTGTTTTGTTGAATTATTTGTATGCTTTGGGTCATTGTCCTGTTGCATCACCCATCCTCTGCGGAGCTTCAGTTGGCGGACAGATGGTCGTACGTTTTCCTGCAAAATGTCTTGATAAACTCTGGAATTCATTTTCCCATCAATGACAACAATCCGTCCAGGCCCTGAGGCAGCAAAGCAGCCCCAAACCATGATGCTCCCTCTGCCATGTTTTACAGTGGGGATGAGGTTTTGATGTTGGTGTGCTGTGCCTTTTTTTCTCCACACATAGTGTTGTGTGTTCTTTCCAAACAACTCACTCTTGGTTTCATCTGTCCACAGTATATTTTGCCAGTAGTGCTGTGGAACATCCAGGTGCTCTTTTGCAAACTTCAAGCATGCTGCAATATTCTTTTTGGACAGCAATGGCTTCCTCCGTGGTGTCCTCCCATCTACTCCATTCTTGTTTAATGTTTTCCTTATTGTAGATGTGTCAACAAAAATGTTAGCATGTGCCAGAGATTTCTGTAGGTCTTTAGCTGACACTCTGGGATTCTTCTTTACCTCATGCAGCATTTTGCGCTGTGCTCTTGCAGTCATTTTTACAGGACGACCACGCCTAGGGAGAGTAGCAACAGTGCTAAACTTTCTCCATTTGTAGACAGTCTGTCTTACCGTGGACACATGAACATCAAGGCTTTTGGAGATACTTTTGTAACCCTTTCCAGCTTCATGCAAGTCAACAATTCTTGATCGTAGGTCTTCTGAGAGCTCTTTTCTGCGAGGCATGGTTCACATCAGACATTGATTCTTGAAACCAGTAAACCCAAAACAGGTGTGTGTTTTTTTTAAGGGCAGGACAGCTGTCAGCAACACATCCAATATCATCACACTGATTGGAGTCAAGGTTGGTTCACTCCTGGCTCCAATTAGCTCTGAGAGAAGTCATTAAGCTAGGGCCTCACATACTTTTTCCTTCCTGCACTGTGAATGTTTACATGTTATGTGCAATTAAACCATGGCAACATCTAATGTTTGTGTAGTATTATGTTCAGCAGACTGTGTTCTTCTATTGTTGTGACTTAGATGACGTTCAGAGCACATTTTATGCCCAATTCATGCGAAACTCCACGTAAACCCAAGGGGTTCACATACTTTTTCTTGCAACTGTATACGTCCACTTTGAATAAAATCTCATGTACAATACAAATAAAAAATGGTTGAAATATGCACATGCTTCATTCCTTTAGTAAGTCAACTGCATTATTTTCAGGAAAATGCATAGCTAAAGAAAGCCCTGTATGAAATAAATATGAAAAGATATTGATCAAATTGATATGCTTAAAGTGGAACTTTACCCAGAACAACTTGATAAAAAATAATGTTCTTTAGCAAGGAACATACATTCTACATGAATAATTATGCTACCAGAATTGGTGTGCTGTAAATTGCCTCCAGCATTGTTCCTGTTTCCTCTTGCTAGAGGCTGCCATTTTGATGAATCCAGAGCCCTTGAACAGCAGTAAATCATAAAGGGGAACGAAACTCACCGATTTAACAGTTTTAAAAAAAATCAGTTACATTGCTGCAATATCAGGATTGCAATATTAACTGTCTCATTTGCTTGTGTCCTCAACCAAACTGTCAAACCATCATATGACTGATGTCATAACTGATCACATGTGCAGCACCATGGCAGTTGGAGATCAAACAGAAGCAGTTTCCTTGTCTAGGATAGGGGAGTTTAATAGAACTTCAGTCAGTAGATCGGCCAATCAGTAGATCGGCCTCTACAAACTTGGCAGTATCTAAAAATAGAGAGCAACTGAGCATGTACACAGCAGGGTGAGACAGTGTATTACTGGGTTTTAAACAGTGTAGGCACTTAGTTTTAATGTTTTACATAGCTATACCTGCAAAAGGGGCCAGCCTGAACTGATCTAGTAGGACTTAATTTTCTGACTAAAGTTCCACTTCAACTATATAAGGATGTGTTCAAAAGAAACAAAGGACAGCATGAGTGTAGACCAGTGGTCTTCTATGGCCATTTGCCTGCCTTTATCTGGCCCTTGGGGAACTATTCCACCGCAAGGAAGATCTCCTGCGCATCCGTGTAAATGCCTAATATATGGTACTCCACTTCACAAGGGTAATCGCTTCAGGCCTTGCTGCCCTCTAGGACTGGGGATGTACTATGACCTCTGAAAAATGAACAAGAGAGGGCTCATCAACCTGGAGCATTATCCCACACATTTATTGAAAATTCAATATAAAAACTACTCACAAGCATAGGAGTAAAAAGCGCTCATCAAGCCACACGTCCGTGGCTGAGGCTCAGAGCCTCTAATGAAGGAGGATTCTTTCAAAACATGTCAGGCTGCAGGGACCCAGGTGAAACCCCCTCTATGTTTTGGAGATTGCTGAGTCTATGAGCATTGAGCCAAAGACGAGTGGCTTGATGAGCGCTTTTTACTCATATACTCATTTTTACATTGAATGTTCAATAAATTTGGGGGATAATACACCAGGCTGGTGCACCCTCTTTTGTTCATTTTTCACAGGAACTATTCCACCAACTAACAGCAATGATGGGGCACCATTCTTCCTACTGACACAATCATCGGGGCACCATTCTTCCCACTTATACAAACGGGGCACTATTCCTCCTATTCAAACCAATGATGGGGCACCAATGCCGGGGCATTTTCTACTACCATTGGCCACAGTCTGGCCCCCTTAAAACTTGAAGGACAGCAAACTGGCCCTTTCTTGGAAGGTTTTAAGACCCCTGGTGTAGACTATGGCTTAATGGTTTATTAAGCATGTTAAGCTTTGGCCATAATTAATACCAAAATATAATTTTCCAGTAACCATAATTGATATTTCAAAATCTGTATTACTGTAAAGGAACAAATAAATTTGAACTACATTGTTAATTAATTTGCTGCCCTGTTTTATCACAAAGGTTTAAACACACATATAGACTATTCTTCTGATGAACATGTTTGGTCATCAACAGTAATATATACTGATAAAGATAATAACTCCTAAAACAACCCTTAATCATAACAATCATAAAAGTTGATGTGGCAGGTAAATTAATATGTCTGATCATGGATGTGGCCAGCTATTGCTTCTGCACTCTTTTCCAATTCAGGGAACCTTACATATTCTATGAAAATCCAAACTCCTCTCACCTGTGCAGAATTCTTTAGGCTAGGTGAGATTGGCCAATAGGCTCAGGAAAAACCAAGAAGTCTGTATCAAAATAATTCTAAAAAGAAAATAAGTCTAATTATTAGTGTAATTTACCTTGGTATTTGGCTTTTCAAGGGCTGTGCTCGGTACTGTGGGAATCCATATGCTTTGAATTCATTGTTAGAAGTAATTCCAGGCCATGTCTCCTCTGTTGGTGTTCCTAATAAGAGAGAGATATGGATTATTTATGGAATAAGTTGGATGAAAGATGTTTGTTTTATTTTAAAATAGATTACCATATAACCTACATTGTGCATACTGTATAGTGTCACACTTTGTTCATGTTAACCAAAGTGATATGAATCAAAAAACAGCTTCAACTCAGTCTCTTCCCATAGGACACACAACTGATATGTTTCATCTGTAGTCATAGATAGGAGTGACCATAGACAATGGCTCCTAGATTGTAAGCTCCAAGGAACAGGGCCCTCCTTTCCCTCTTGTATTGAACTGTATTGTTGCTGTATTGTCTCCCGTTATATATTGTAAAGCGCTGAGCAAACTGTTGGCACTATATAAAATTCTGTATAATAATATGCATCATAACCAGAAGCAGGCACAGCTTGAATCATTGGGAGAGCATGTATTCTTAGTGCTGTCAAATCGTAATAGATTACCTTGCCAAGTAATGCATAAAAGCAAGAAAATAAGAAAGAAAACAAACTATTTTACATATTATTCTACATGCACCCCCCAAGATTTTCCGAGAGTCAAAGAGGATTTTATATATATATATATATATATATATATATATATATATAATCCCTCCCAAAATCCAAAATATTAGCAAGTGTTTCTATATATAAAACAGAAAGATGTAGAATGTTCTACATATGGTAAACTATAATTTACCCCTCAGTGCATCTAGACTCAAATGACCTGTATAAAGCATGATATAATCTAGAGCAGGGGTCTGCAACCTTTAAGACATAAAGAGCCACTTGGACCCGTTTCCGAGAGGGAAAAAAAGACTGGGAGCCGCAAAACCATTGCAACATTTAAAACAAATCCGACACTGCATATATTGCAAAAAGCGCTCTGGTCATGAAGGGGGTTTAAGGGCCCAGTAAGCAAAGGGTTAATCAGGGCCACAGTGTATCATCATAATCACAATCATAGCCTTAGGTCAGTGGTGGGCAACCTTTTTTTTCAACTGAGCCAAATCTCGCCAAAACCACGATTAAAATTTATTTTAGAGCCACATTTTTAAAACTGAAAATACATCCCCCATATAGTAATTCATCCCCCATAGTAATTCATCCCCCCTATAGTAATTCATCCCCCCTATAGTAATTCATCCCCCATATAGTAATTCATCCCCCATAGTAATTCATCCCCCCTATAGTAATTCATCCCCCATATAGTAATTCATCCCCCATATAGTAATTCATCCCCCCTATAGTAATTCATCCCCCCTATAGTAATTCATTCCCATATTGTGTCAATTCACTTACCTGTACTCCGCGCGTTCCTCTCGCCGTGTTCCCGCGCAGTTCTGGTCTTCAGGGCGGACTGTGAGAGGAGAGGAGTTCGTCACGCTGCCCCGCCTACATCCTGACAGCCAATGTTTGCCACGCTCCGCGGGCCGGATTATAAGGTCCGCCGGGCCGTAGTTTGCCCATTGCTAGGCTAGCTGCAGAGTCCTGACTTTTGGGGCGGCCGCCCGAGAGGAGGGAGGGGAGCGGGCGCCCGGCACACAGAAGAGCTGCATTAACCTCCCTGGCGGTATGATTCCTTCCGATTTTTTGTGCTGAAAGCGGTACCATTTTTTCGCATGGAAATAGTTTTTTATTGTAGGCTGTAATTTTTAGGAAAATTTCCCCACAAATCATTATCACTCAATTCTGCAAGTGGTTCTGATTTACTATCGCTGTTCTCTAGCCGGTCTAAAACCGCTTTTGACCTAAAGGGACGCTTTTTGGACGCCATGGACTTTTCTAAGTTTCCAGGCAGAAAGAACAGACAAAATGCAGGCAGGGCGCCGGACAAAGCACTAGGGACAATATGTATGTGAAATGGGATGAAACAGCAATGTTTTACTATTGAAAAATTGAAAAAAAAAAAAAAGACATTTTTTAAATTTTTTAAATTTCCCGCCGCCGGCGGCGCCCGTACGTCCCGACGTCACGGGGACCGGAACACAGAAGCCGGATGCCGGCATCGGCCGGAGGAGATGGCCGGGGACGCTGCAGGGGACACATCGCGGGAACGAAGGACAAGGTAAGTGCTGCAGGGACCCCCAGAGCAGCGCCGCATGGTAAGCCTGAGTGTAGCTCGTGGTATAGAAATTCTACCACGAGCTACACTCGGGAAAACCACCAGGGAGGTTAAAAGAGCCGCGGCTTGCCGACCACTGAGCTACGGCAACCCTATTGCCTGTCACCTGGTGGGCAGTGTGCTCCGGAGCCGCAGCAAAGGTGAAAAGAGCCGCATGCGGCTCTGGAGCCGCGGGTTGCCGACACCCGATCTAGAGCATAGAAACTAGCTCCTATAAAGAATATTTTTTTCTTACAAAAGGTGAAGACAAAAACTATTTTATTCTTGGAATGGCTAAAATCAACAGTAAATGACTGAATAAAATAAAAGAAAAAGAATCGATGTCCAAGTGCAGCACCATAATCCCCCAAAAGGTGGAAACATGAGAATGTAAAAACTCATAACAGAGATATATAAAATCTAAAAATATCCAGAAATCTGCTTTCTGTATTGTTTTTGAAATGTATGCAGTTGAAGGTGTTTGAGCAAATTTAGCAGTACACTTCAGTTGATTATTATTGTTCCCCCAAAAGGGGAAGCAGATGAAGAGTAATATGAAAGGAACTACATAATATCTACACAGGTATTTGGTGCCTTTAGTATCTGTTTATACAAGGTCTAATGGATTACCCAGATACATAGATGTATACATAAATGTTAGGTTTATTAAGAAATGCGGGCAAAATCTATTGGCTGCTAAACAGGACAGGAATCCATGGCAAACAATCAAAATTCAGGTTTTTTAGTGCTTGCAATACAATATTATGATATTGTAGTGTTTTTACACAGGCTAGCACAACTGAAGCAGAAGCATGGTAAGTGATATACTAAAACTCAGAGAGAAGGATATTTTAAGTCAGTTTAAAAAGGGATATATGGCCAACCCGTTTTTAGGCTATAGATTTCTTTTGGATCACAGCAGTACATTTACTTTTGTTCTTCTGTGACCCAGGAACAGCTGTGCTATGTATGGAATCCTGACAATATTGATGGGATCCACCCAATTGCCTTTCAAGGTATGGCTAAGAGTTAGAATCAGCCATGCCTGCCCCCTCCGCAGCCTGGCCCTTCAGTGAGTGGGGTGCAGTGGCTGACAGTCACTGTTCCCCGCTTCCAACAGATCAAGAGCTGACTGATCAGTGGTAAGGTGATCAATCACTTCCCACTTATAGAGCCGTGTGGGACAGATTCAGTGTCACAAGAATGCTGCATCATTGAGATACGTATACAGCAGATAAAATAAGCATTAAACAAGTCTTCATTTTTCTCAGTAAATAGAGTGCATGTGATCAGCACAGGCCAATCAGCACTGTCCAGACAGAAGTTCAGGGGATTTGCATCCTCCTAGAGCAGAATGAAAACTCTCTCCTAAAAGCTTTAACATGTGCTCTGCTGGACACTGATAGAAGTCACAAGACTGCTGTAACTGCTGGTGAGAAAAGGTATTTACCAGTTTATATTTACTAAAATAATTGTATTTCCATGTTCTGTGTACTGTGGGAGACCAGATAGAGTGAATGCAGGGTCCTGGGTTTAGTAACAGTTTAAGTTAAGTGTAATAAAATGGAATGACACAGGGAAATAGTATTGAACACGCTAACTGAAATGCATTTTGTACTTTATCTTTGTACAAAATTCTTTGTAATGACAGCTTCAAGACACCTCCTGTATGGAGAAACTAGTCGCATGCATTGCTCAGGTGTGATTTTGGCCCATTCTTCCACACAGTCTTCATATCTTGAAGGTTCCGTGGACCTCTTCTATGAACTCTGATCTTTAGTTCTTTCCTAAGATTTTCTATTGGATCCACCTCAGGTGATTGGCTGGGCCATTCTAACAGCTTTATTTTCTTTCTTTGAAACCAAATTGAGAGTTTCCTCGGGTTTGTGTTTAGGATCATTGTATTGCTGAAATGTCCACGCTTGTTTCATCTTCATCATCCTGGTAGATGGCAGCAGATTTTTATCAAGAATGTCTTGGTACATTTTTTCCATTCATCCTTCCTTCAATGATGTAAAGTTTGCCAGTACCATATGCTGAAAAACAGCCCCACACCATGCTGTTGCTCAGCCTTTCACCATTATTTTAACAGATTGTCTGCTTCAATTGGTTCCTTCCAATGATGTGTATCCATTCTCACCTCCTCCACCCAGGTCATGCAGCAATAATCAAAGAGAAGCTCCACAGCATTATACCATTTATTATGAGGAAATATACATAAAAGTTGCGCTTACAGATAAAACATGTGTAGGCGCTTTAAAACAATGTGTTCCGGAACGCCACTGTGCTCCATAGCTGAGGCAAACCGGAAGTTATGCAATCAGACCAGCCCAATGCGTTTGTCATTATGTCATCAGGGATGAGTGCTCCTGACAATGTCTTGCTGAAATGCATTGGCCGCTCTTGATGTCATGATGACGAAACATGTTGGATGGGTCACTTCCGGTTTGCCTCAGTTGAGCTGTTGAGCGCAATGGCGCTATGGAAGCTTCCCTTTGATTATTCCAACTGCATGACCTGGGTGGAGGAGGAGAGAGTGGATACACATCATTGGAAGAAACCCATTGAAGCCGACGATCTTTTAAAACAATGGTGGAAAGCTGGGGAGTAAGAAGATCTTACCTAAAAAGTGCTTTTGACCTGCCCAGGTCGATTTATAGCGGTGAGTGCAGTTTTGGAAGGGGAGCACTAGTGTCAATACAGATTAATCACTTGAATGTTATGCAATTTGGTATCACCCATATCACCAATTCAGCAACATCTCCCTTACGGATGTGGAAGGTGTTTTGTAGCATGGGAACACTGTTCATCTGACAATAAGGAATAACTTATTGGACATTGATTTAATATCTTTGTATACATATTTTTTGGATACATGGAGATCTGTATGTATACTTCTTGTTA